AATTTATAAATTAACTTTGTGAACTTCACAAAATTGTCACCTCCTACTCATAAAACTGAATTGAATTTTGCCCTCAATTTCTGCATTTGGAATGCTAAATTTGTTTTTGCAAAATTAATAACTAGTTATTTCAACTTACATCAGACACTGTCAGACATTAAGCACTCTTTAAATTACATTTTCTCTTTTAAAATGAGCAAATAGACTTACCTAAGAATTATTTAAGCTTTTACAAAGCTTAAATATACAAATCAATTATAAATCATTAAAATTCTAATATTATAAAAGGTCTTGCTAACTTAACAGTATTAGGCAATAAGCCATATAAAAACATATTCTAGTATATGTTGATAGGGAATCTCTAACTGAAAATTTTATATAAATCAGTAAGTGAAATCAGTAAGTGAAAAATTAAGCATCACATTTCTCCTAAAGGAGAATATGTGAAAATAGGTATTCTGTTCATGAAAATGTAAACTATCACTACCTTTTAGAAAACAATCTGGCAACAACTATCAATATTTTAAATGTAAACACCTTGTGGGGCAGCAATTCCAACTACAGCTATACCTGCAAAACTCTACCAAGAAGTAATACACACACACACACACACACACACACCAAAAAAAAGGGAGGAGAGGGAGTGAGAGAAAGGCAAATAGCAGCTATTCACATAAGGTTCAGTGGGTCTGGGGGTCATTTTTTTTCTTTGTAAGTCCTCAGTACTGGGGGTGGAGGGGTGCTGAGATGGAGGGAAAACTACTATCAATGTTTTTTAAGAAGGAAAATCCAAAGAATTTTAACCTAGGAAAAACATAATATTAGATATAGCAAAAATGAAGTCAAGTGGATGCAGTTTAATTAGAAGCCTGAGTAATATCTAATAAATATATAACCCTATTTAATAATATTCCATTTCTATATTCTAAGCTAAGGCTTAAGGAAGTGTTTTAATGGTACAGCCTTTTTGGGTGAAACCACATTCTTTGATACCATTTCTGTCAGATTGGCAAAGCTGTTTTTTAAGCCGACTGTTGGCAAAGATGGAGAATGGGCACTCTAAATGTAGTAAGATACACATTCTTAATTGCTGGTAAGAATGTAAGTTGCAGATACTTTCTGAAGGGCTATTTGGTAATACGCAAGAAAAATCTTAAAAATGTACATACCAAATAAACAAAAAATATAATATAAATGATGATTATCTACCTAGAAAATCCCTAAGAATCCAAAATGGAGCTACTAGGACTACTAAATGAGTTTAATAAGGTCACAGGATACAAGGTCAATATACAAAAGTCAATATACTAGCAACAAACAGTTGGAAATGGAAATTAAAAAAAAATACTATTACAATACTTACTTTTACCCTTGTTAAATTTCTTCTTGGTAGACTCAACATAGAGTTCCAGCCTGTCAAGACCTTTCTGGATTGGGATTTCGTCATCCATTGTATTAGTTATCCCTCTCAGCTTTGTGTTAACTGCAGGTTTGATAAACACGCACATGTGTCCTCATCCAAGTCATTTATAAAAATGTTGACAAGACCAAACTGAGGACCAAACACTGCAGGCCACCATGGGATACCTCTATATATTTACTTAAACCCATTAAACAATACTCTTTGTCTATGATGTTCAAATGATGTACCTAATTGTTCTGTTTTCACAAGAATATTATGAGAGACTTTTCAAGATGGCTTTTTGAAATCCAAATACCTAAAAGGCAAAAAGGGTATCAATCTGTAATGACTTGATACCTGATGATCTTGGCTTTTCTTTCTGAACGTATTTAATAAATCGAGCCAGAATTTTGGCTGGAATGGATATCAAGTTCACTGGTCTGGTTTGTGGAATCTACCCTTCTCACTTTGAAAATCAAAACAGCATTTGCCTACTTCCAGTCCTTAAGCACCACTTCTGTTTGCCAGGGGTTCTCAGATTACCAGCAGCAGTACAGCCATCTCACCTGGAAAATCTCTGTTATGCTGGGGAGCAATCACATGGGTCAAGTGCCTTAAACACATTCAGAGTGGATTAGGGCTCTTTTACTCACTCCTCAAGTATCTTCTCATGCTGTATATAATTAAATGTGAGTGAAATCTGATTCAAAGTTAAGTCTCTGAAAGATCTGCTGAATGAAAAGTTCAAATTTCCCCCCTTTCCTCCTTTAGTTCAAAGACTTTTAAAAACAATGTCAATAGTACTTTCTCACTTCCCATAACTTGTAGTTTAAGACTTGTTCTTATGGAAGTGCTATATGCTCTTTATAAATAAAATTAAATCTTTTTGATGAATATAAAATGAAAAGTAAAGGCTCCTCTTCTGCTTTCCCCCCCAAATATTCCAAATTCTCCTGGACTCCCCTTGCTTCTAAAGGCCCTCCCTCTCCAACTCCCTGGGAATTGTCCCGACAGCCTGCAAACCATGACAGGTTTCATTATACACCATGTTTTCTTTCCAGTAAGACTAGAAGCTCCTAAAGCTAAGATTGTCTTTTACTTCTGTGTAGCTTATGTACCAAATACAAGCATACTGCAGAAATGGAACATTTGTTTAACTGTGTGATACTCCAAAACTTATGTTAAAAGCACCAGAAGTCTTACTTTCACTTCATATTTAAGTGGACATTGGTTGGTTTTGTCAATCTAGCAATCATTACCTCCTCTGGCCTACCCACCCATTCGTTTATTTTTATTTTATTTTATTTTCCACCCATTGGTTTATAAGGATCCATTCAATTATGCTCGGAAGAGAATGAGATCCAAGTCAATCAAAGCTTCATAATCCCATAGACATGGTTCAGGGTAGGGTATGTAACCCAACCTAGACAATGAGATGCTATCAACTTGAAGCTGAGAGGATATAAAGGACCCTAGATACTGCAGCCATCTTAGGACCAAAGGAGTGATCTAACCAAGTATGGAACCAACACCCAGAAGGGCAAACTTGAGAGAGATTAGACCCTGGTGACATCATTTACTGCACATCTATTAAGTATTACTGCTACTCCATTCTTGACCTCAGAACCATATGACTTCAAAGCCTTCTTCCTCCACCAAGCATACTACTAATTCATTCTGATTCCTTAAGTCTTTATCCTTATGTTCAAGGAATCTCATCAGGCATGAGAGGTAGTCTGATGAAAGGGAGAAGAGAAGGATCAGGGCTCTTAGAATAAAAAATATAAATATAAAAAGAAATACAGGGCTTCCCTGGTGGCGCAGTGGTTGAGAATCTGCCTGCTAATGCAGGGGACACGGGCTCGAGCCCTGGTCTGGGAAGATCCCACATGCCACGGAGCAACTAGGCTCGTGAGCCAGAACTACTGAGCCTGCGCGTCTGGAGCCTGTGCTCCGCAACGAGAGGCCGCGATAGTGAGAGGCCCACGCACCGCGATGAAGAGCGGCCCCCGCTTGCCACAACTAGAGAAAGCCCTCGCACAGAAACGAAGACCCAACACAGACAAAAATAAATAAATAAATTAATTAATTTAAAAAAAAGAAATACAGGGGCTTCCCTGGTGGAGCAGTGGTTAAGAATCCACCTGCCAATGCAGGGGAAACGGGTTTGAGCCCTGGGTCTGGGAAGATCCCTCTTGCCATGGAGCAACTAAGCCTGTGCGCCAACAACTACTGAGCCTGCGCTCTAGAACCCGTGAGCCACAACTACTGGGCCCACATGCCACAACTACTGAAGCCCTCGCACCTATAGCCTGTGCTCTCCAACAAGACATGCCACCGCAATGAGAAGCCCGCGCACCCCAAGGAAGAGTAGCCCTCACTCGCCGCAACTAGAGGAGGCCCGCGCGCAGCAACGAAGACCCAATGCAGCCAAAAATAAATAAATAAATTTATTTAAAAAGAAATATAAATATACACATTAGAGCAGACTGTGAGCGATATATTATTAACGGGCAAATGGTGATGCCATGAAAAGCTGACAGAGTGAAAAAGTGTCGGACGTTGTTTGGGTATACAGACTGGTAGAAGAAAAAAAAGGTTTCACAAGAAATGGGCATCTGGCACAAACTCCTGCATTATCTGTTCACAGAAAACCTCTTGTGCTATTCTCTCTCGCTCATTATCCACAATGGCCATCTTTCGTTTCTTAAAAACTAAGTTCTTTGCTGTCTCAAAACAATTATGCTAGTCTGGGTGCTCTTTCCCCAAATCCTCTCATGACTGGTTCCTTTCTCACATTTCCGATCTCTGTTCCAATGCCACCTCTTCAGAGATGCCTTTCCAGTCCAACCAACCTAACCTGGACCTTTTTCTCTTTCCATCACCTCTTACTTCCTTCAAAGCTCTTATCATCAACTATATTTACTTAAAATGTTTAGTTTATCGACTCTTTCCACCAATAGAATGTGAGCTTCCTGAAAGCAGGGATTCTGTCTTGAACACCTCTTTTTACTTACACCCAAATACCGGCATAGAGCGATAGGTAATGCATAAATTAATATTTGTTGGAGAATGAATGGCAGAAAGTGAGAAGAGAGCTTGGCAGAAAAGTCAGGCTGCTCCTAGGGAAGGCGATAGGAACAGGGCAGGAAAAGCCAGTGGGCTGGAGGTTGCACAGGAAGCTGAAGGTTTACGTCGGCGAGAGTAGGAGGTGTTGGACGAGGGCTACAGGCTTCTCCCGGTCACGCGTGGGGTGGGCAGCCGGGTAGGCAAAGGGGCATAGAACTCTTAGCGACCAACTCCTGGGCGTTCCCTTCGCGGGAACCAAACACGAGACTGTCTTCAGGCACCCCTAGGTCCCGCCCAGCGGTCTTACGCAGCCGTCTTCCACGAAATCTCTAATCCACAGACATCAAACTTACCGCCGCGGCCCGAGACCCTCGCGGGCAGGCGACGTGTGAGAAAAACGGCCAACCTCCGCCTGGCCACGCTGACGATCCCACACCGACCCCGCATACCAGGGCCCGCTCACTAGCCGGCTGACGCGCTTCTCCCCGCCCCCAGCCCGCCCAGCGGCCCGACTCCGGCCCTAACTTACGCTTGTCTCCGGGCTATGAGGCGATGCATGGGAGTCGCCATCTTAGCGCGGCTGAGGCCTGCCGCGCTGGGTTTTGGGAAACTCCTCGGAGGGGGCGGGGACTTAGAACCCCGGAGGCCGTAGGCGTGGGCGGGACCAGTCGGGCCTGGAGAGCTAACCGGGCAGCTTTGGGGGCAAGTAGTGGTTAGGGCCTGGTCTGTTGTGTTTCCTGTGTGCGTCTGTAGTTTGAGGGAGAGGAATGAGTCAGGTTGATCGGTCTGAATGAGGGATTTTAAGGATGGGTCCACGTATATTGCATGGAGAGGCAGGGAAGAACATTCTCGAATGAGGGATCCATCTATCCATCTTTATATACAAATGAATTTATTTATATATATATATATATATATATATATATAAATGAATAAAACTGCATTGTTCAGGACACTAGAAGTAGTTTGGATAGCAAAATAAAAAGGAATGACTTCAACAAGATTGGGACCATCAATTGAAAAAGAATGACTTTAGGACTTCCCTGGTGGCGCAGTGGTTGAGAGTTCACCTGCCGATGCAGGGGACACGGGTTCGTGCCCTGGTCCGGGAAGATCCCACATGCCGCAGAGCAGCTGGGCCTCGGAGCCATGGCCACTGAGCCTGCGCGTCCGGAGCTTGTGCTCCGCAACGGGAGAGGCCGCAACAGTGAGAGGCCCGCGTACCGCAAAAAAAAAGAAAAAGAATGACTTTAGCAAATTGTAAAATGCAAATATATGTTGTTTATATTTTTATGTTTTTCATAATGATGTTATAAGGCTATAGAGGTAAAGCTGCTTTTTCAACTGGAAAAAGATTGTACAAATATTAATTCTTTAAGGATATTTTAGTATTTAGTGTCAGTCGTAGAAATTTATTGTCTTAAATCCAGTTTTTGAAATATAGAGAACTTTTTTTTAACATCTTTATTGGAGTATAATTGCTTTACAATGGTGTGTCAGTTTCTGCTTTATAACAAAGTGAATCAGTTATACATATACATATATCCCCATATCTCTTCCCTTTTGCATCTCCCTGCCTCCCACCCTCCCTATCCCACCCCTCTAGGTGGTCACAAAGCACTGAGCTGATCTCCCTGTGCCATGCGGCTGCTTCCCACTAGCTAGGGGTTTTACATTTGGTGGTGTATACATGGCCATGCCACTCTCACTTTGTCCCAGCTTTCCCTTCCCCCTCCCCGTGTCCTCAAGTCCATTCTCTAGTAGGTCTGCATATAGATAACTTTTTGAAATACATATATGTATGTATGTTTCTGTGTCTCCATTCATTTTCTTTTAATTTATGTTTTTCAATTAAAATGAGGAACTGAAGGCAGAGCATTGAACAAATAAAGTCATTGTACACATGGAGCTTTCTACAGACAATAAACAAATGCAATGTCCAACGTGCGTGAATAGTCTAAAGAAAAATAATTTAGCGTAAGAGGTAAAGAGTGATTCAGCAATGGGAGTTAGAGAAGGTGATGTCATGCAACCTTTGTGCACATCTTGTTCCTTAAAAAGTGGAATCTTACTCTCTGTTCTGTTCCTCAGCTTGCTTTGTTCATTCCTCAGTGTGTTTATGGACATCTTTTCCCATATCAGCACATGCAGATCCAGTTCATTCTTTTCATGTATTATGTTATATGGATTACATGGATGTTCCACAATTTATCCAACTAGTATCCTGTTGTTGAACAATTAGATCATTTAACACAAAGATGGAATGAACAGATTTTTAAGCACTCACCCATGTTTCTGTAACATGACTTCCTAGAAGTAAAAGTGCTGGGTCAAAGGATATGTGTATTTTAAATTTTGATAGATTATACATTTTGCTCTTTTTAAAAAAATATTTATTTATTTAGGCTGCCCCGGTCTTAGCTACTGCATGTGGCATATTTTAGATGCAGCATGTGGATGCTTAGTTGCAACACGCGGACTTCCTAGTTGCGGCATGCATGCGGGATCTAGTTCCCTGACCAGGGATTGAACTCAGGCCCCCTGCATTGGGAGCGCAGAGTCTTAGCCACTGGACCACCAGGGAAGCCCCTATGGTTACATATAGATATATAGATATAGATCTTTTTTTTTTTGCGGTTCGCGGGCCTCTCACTGTTGTGGCCTCTCCCGTTGTGGAGCACAGGCTCCGGACACGCAGGCTCAGCGGCCATGGCTCACAAGCCCAGCCACTCCGCGGCATGTGGGATCTTCCGGGACCGGGACACGAACCCGTGTCCCCTGCATCGGCAGGAGGATTCTCAACCACTGTGCCACCAGGGAAGCCCTATTACTTCTTTATTGACTTGAAATGCCACTCCCTCATAACTAAATATGTACAAATTTAATTTGGACATTCTGTTTTCTTCCAAAGATCTGTTTGTGCCAGGATTTGTACTGCTTTAATTTCCATAATTTTATAGAATATTTTGATATCTGGTAGGGCAAGTCCCTCCTAAATATTCTTCTTTTCCTCAGTTTTCTTTATTGCTCCTAGGTATTTATTTTTCTAGATGAACTTTATTCACAAACTTTCAAGTTTTCCACAAAACGATATTAAGATGTATTTGTCAGGTAACTTTAAAAATAAAATTTTTTTTTTTTTTTTGGTCACACTGTGTGGCTTGCAGGATCTTAGTTCTCTGACCTGGGATCAAACCCTGGCCCTTGGCATTGAAAGTGCAGAGTTCCTGGACTGCCAGGGAATTCCCACTTGTCAGCTAATTTTAAAAGAAATTGCACTGCAGGGACTTCCCTGGTGGTCTAGTGGTTAAGACTCCCCACTCCCAATGCAGAGAGCCCAGGTTCAACCCCTGGTCGGGGAACTAAGATCCCACATACCGCAAATAAGCACGCATGCTGCAACTACTGAGCCCTTGCACTCTACAGCCCATGCACCACAACGCATAGAGAAGCCTGTGGGCTGCAATGAAGAGCCCTCGTGCCACAACGAAGACCCAGAGCAGCTAAACTAAATAAATTAATTAATTTTAAAAAAAGGAAACAAATGGCTCAGGAAGAGCTTTAAAAAAAAAAAAGAAAGAAATTGCACTACAGCAAATGTAAAATGGCAAGAGACAGAATACGATATAGCAAATAGAGAGGAGGAAGCAAATGACATTTTTTTGTGATGATTTGGTTTGCACACCTGGAAAACCTACAAGAGTTAATTGAAAGCATCTAGATACAGGGGCCAGATACACACACACACACATACACACACACACACACACAATACAATAATGTTTTGCTTTTTCAGGACTTCCCTGGTGGTCCAGTGGTTAAGAATCTGCCTTCCAATGCAGGGGACGAGGGTTCAACCCCTGGTCAGGGAACTAAGATCCCACATGCAGGGCAACTAATCCCACATGCCGCAACTAAGACCCGACACAGCCAAAAAAAAAAAAAAAAAAAAATCTTTTTTTTCAACGGCAAGACCAAGCCAATGTAGCTCTTTCCCATTGAGGCCCATGGACTTGAGGGACTCACAACTTTGTCCAGAGGGCGCAGGCTAAAATTCAGACACTAAGTACTGTAAACTTTAATGGGTAGAAGCTGAAAAAAATTTAAAACTCTTGTGAAAGCTGCAAGTAATTTCTAGCTGGCAAAAATGAACACTTTAGGAGGGAAGGAGGAAAGGGCAAGATAGAGGTAGGGGATTAAAAGGCACAAACTATTAGGTTTGCTACAAGGATATATTGTACGGGACTTCCCTAGTGGTCCAGTGGTTAAGAATCCACCTGCCAATGCAGGGAACATGGGTTCGATCCCTGGTCTGGAAAGATCCCACATGCCTCGGAGCAACTAAGCCCATGCACCACAACTACTGAGGTTGCGTGCTGCAACTACTGAAGCCCGCGCCTAGAGCCCGTGTTCCACAACAACAGAAGCCACCGCAATGAGAAGCCTGTGCACTGCAACGAAGAGTAGCTCCCACTCACCACAACCAGAGAAAGCCCGCGTGCAGCAACGAAGACACAACGCGGCCAAAAAAAAAAAAAAAAGGATATATTGTACAACAGGAGGAATATAGAAAATACTTTATAATAAGTATAAATGGAATATAACCTTGAAAATTTGTGAATCACTATACTGTACACCTGTAACATATAATATTGTATATCAACTCTACGTCAATTAAAAAAAGGAAAAAAATGAACACTTTACTAAGACTTAAGCAGACTATTCTTTTATCCTAGGAAAGCTTCCACCAAGTGTCTTATGGTTATGTAAGATGTGGGGGAAAGGGGGGTTGGGATGAATTGGGAGATTGGGATTGACACATATACATTAATATGTATAGAACAGATAACTAATAAGAACCTGCTGTATAGCACAGGGACCTCTACTTCACACCGCTGAACAGTAGAAACTAACACAACATTGTAAAACAACTATACCCCAATAAAAAAAAATTAAAAAACAAAAAAAGAAAAAGAAACTGAAATTGAAAGACTGGTTTTGAGAATTAAACCTTACCTCAGCTAATGATTTTAATTGACACTATGTTGCTGTGAAACAAAGTTGGATTTATTTCATAACTCAATGTTAGAAAACAGTAGGAGACATAGACAAAAGGCACATTTTATTATGTGGTATTTATTTTCCATGATATATTCATTTTGGGACAATACACTTTATTAAAGCTTTATTGAGGTTTGGTATACAATAACTTGCATATATTTATAGTGTATGAAGATGAGATTTGATATTTATAAAATATTTTATATATTATAAGCTTTTTATAAGGCTGAAATCATCACCACAATCATGATCATGAACATATCTATCACCACCAAAAGTTTCTTAATGCAACACTGTAATTCCTGATTACCACCCCTCTGTCATCATCCTTCAGAAACCACAGATCAGCTTTTTGTCACTGTAGATACTTTGCAATGGGTTAAAATTTATATGAATGGAATAATACAGTGTTCTTTTTAACAATGCTTTTTTCACTCAATCATATTAAGATCCACCCAAGTTATTACAATTATAGATAGTTTAATTCTTAATGCTAACTTGTACTCAACTTTACTGCTATTTGACAA